TTACATTGCTCTTTTTTCTGTTAGATAATTTAATTTTTAAGCTTATAGAAAAATGTATATAATGAATGTACATAAATATCCTGGAATTTGGTCCTGGAGCAAAGTCTAGAAATATATGAGAAGGAAATGCAGCATTTTCAACTTTCTACAATTCATATCAAACTGAATATTAGAAAAGTTTTAGGCAATTGATAGTGCTATCAGCGCATATCCATAAAGTGCTTGGCTTTCTACCCAGATATGCACCAAGGACTAAGAGCCAGCTCCACCTGGAAGACGCATCACTGAATCTTGACTTCTGAATATAATGTCTTGAATGCACCAGCACAGGGGTAGTGTTGCAAAAGAATCAACTGGAGGGAGGATGCTTGTTAAAATGCAGATGCTCAGGCCCATTTCAGACTCAGATCACACTCTCTGGGTTGGGGCCTGGGGAATCTTATGCAAATGATTCCTAGCGAATGACACATCCATTTGGATTTAGTGACAACTTCTTTTTGTTGCCGATACTCTTTCCCCTCCATGCCTGGAAGCCCTAGTCTGCTTCCTGCTTCTTTCTGGAAACTCCTCATGTGCTGGCTGGCATCTGGAAGTTGATGGATAATGAATGAATGGAAATTCCCTTGAAAAGCTATTCCTAATTTAAACCTATAAATATTTATTATTGGACAAGGATGAATGACTACTATTTATTATGAAAAACACAAAAACTGGCAATAGAAATCCTGATTTATTTTTCATGACTCTAAACCCAGTATAAACAAATGCATATTTTAAAAATCAAATACGTACTTCTAAAATCCTAACACATGAACCAAACCCACACATACAGAAGGAGGGTTGAGACTAATTTCAAACTCCCCTCAGTGTTCTCTCACATATTTCCAACATGTTGAACAGCCTTTGAAGTCAGTGGAATAAATGTTATCCATGAGTGTGTGGGTGTAGAGAGGGCTGAGAACCAGCACAATTAAATGTTACCAGAACACAGGAACTTTGCTCTAATGCCTATGTGTTTTCTCAGGGGCAAAGGCAAAATACCCATTTGTTTACTGGGCTGAACTAGCACTACTGTAGGAAAAAAGCTGCAGTGTTCTTGCAGCCCCGATTGAAAAGAGGAGGCCTGGACTGTATCCTTAATGCTTATGATTGCTTGGATTTCCAGAGGATCCACACACGGTCCTAGGAAAAATGTAAATCTGCGGTGGGAACATTGAAGTGTTCTTGGGCTGCTTTGGGGTAGCAGGTGCTAGGCAACTTCACCTTGTGGGAGAGCACAGGATTGCCTGAAGGGAGAGGGCTGCATTACTAACCAGGGTTTCAAGCTGAAAGAGGACAGAAAGGTGGGTATATACCTACCTCTGAGTGAGAGAAGAGGGCTGGGTGTAGAAACAGGGGTGCAGAGGGGACCTGCAGTCCCTGGCCTGGGCCTCTAGCTGGGACCCTTGAGTGTCTCTCTTTGGATTGACCTCCCTGTTGTTGCTTCTCAGACATTACAGAGACCTCAGAATAATGATATTTTATACATATAGTGTCCTATTTCACTCATCTGCTTCTCTTCACAAACTTGTGAAGTTCTAGGTTATCTTCATAACAAGAAAGGAAAATAGTCTTTTATTTCCCCAATAAGGAAAGGTCACTTAACTAATAAATGAATGGACCAAACCAGGACCTAGGGTAGGTCTATATCTGTTGTACCCATCTTGGTATCCTCCACAATTCCTAGTAGTACTATGCACACATTAATTAGCAAATATTCCTTCAATATGTATAATATTTTAAAGGAGCTATAAATGTCCATTGAAAGAATGTAGGCATACATTAACTATCATATTATCTACTATGAATTCTTTTCCAATTTCACAAGTGCACTTTTATTTATCGATATTTTTGGTATCCCATTTTATTAAAAGAGATGTTCTTTTCACCATAGCTCTATAATACCACGACCTGATCAAAATGAAGTGTAGGGTTGGTTATCATTTAAGTTACTTGAACGGCATGGAAAGCCTACAGAGGAGGGGGCAATTCAAACTCAGAAGTCTTCAGCTTTAAGGAAGAATGATTTAGAAAATATTGGTTAAAGCATGTTGTTGCTTTGTTGGGTTTTGCCTCAATGATCTGAATAACTACAGTTGTGTAGATCTGGCCCCAAAGCAGGGGGCACGCACTGGAGTATGTTGAGGAGGGGAAGCAGGGGTGGAAGCAGAAGTAGCAGCCCAGCTCTTTGGGGAATCAGTAGAGCACACCAGTGGGGAAGAGATAGAGTGAGGAGAGTGAATTTGTTCTTTGGTGTCTCTAGTCTCCACTTTTCCTCATGTTTTCGTGTGTGTGTGTGTGTGTGTGTGTGTGTGTGTGTGTGTGTGTGTGTGTGTTTCCCCAGTGCAGGAGGCCTACATTGTAATTTGTGCTTTAGAATGAATTTAGGTGACTATGTTCTTTTTCCTGGCAGGGGTATAGGGGGATGCACAGAGCAAGGCAGAGCATCATCTCCAACTGTCCTTTATTGTGTCATTAATGGACTTAGGGCATGAGTGTGGCGGATATATTCTGAGGCAGGAGAGTTGTACAGAGGTTTTGGAAAAGCAATGACATACATTATAGAGTACTATATGCCTCAATTGGTTCATCACATCCTGTATGTGAGGACCTTCAAGGCAGGTGTTATTTTCCCCATTTTACAGACCAGGAACCTGAGTCTCAGGGAGGTTGTAATCAGTGACTGAACCAAACGCAGGACTTAGGTCTCTTGGATCCTCCATCACACAACTCTCTTTAACCCCACACCAGTCCTTATTCTGCTTATGAAGCCCTGCTCAATCAGAATCACGTAGGAATTTCTGAATCCACGTGCTCTGGTTGCTCTCCCTTGCCTGCAACCATGCTTCCCATCCAAACTAACAGATAATGCTGCCCTGACTCAGCATAACCATTTCTACCAGGACAGGGCATGTGAATCCAAGCCAGAGGATGTGGCTGGCCTCCTTCTGCTGTCAAACCTCCATGCTCAGCATTACCCTCACTCTCCAGCAACCAAGCTCTTCTCTGGTCAGGACCCCCTGAGTCATTGACCATTGGTTACGAGGGTCCCCATTGCCTTGTCACCTCTCTGTGGCTTTTTCTGGTTTACCATAACATTGTACCTTTCCCTATTCCATTCCTGTAGGGCCAGTGGTTCTCAAACATTAGTCCATTCATTTCTTTGTTAAAATGCAGATTTCTGGGCACTGAGATTCTGAGTCGGTTGTGTCTGAGAGTAGGGTCCTGGTGTCTGTACCTCCTCCCTCATTTTGATGTAAGTGGTTATAGGTAAGACACTTTGAGAAAGAAAAAAAAAAACTGTCTTAGGCTGTCTTAGCTCTCTGCTAGGTGAGAGGATCTGAAAAATCTAACACTCAGATCTGAGTGGGCATGATACTAAGTTAGTTACTGTGTTGCTCTCTACTGTTGAAAGGCAATATGGTACCCTGCTTGACAGCATGAGGGCTGCTTTGAATCTCAGCTTTGCTAAGCTACTAAACCTCCCTGTGCCTTAGTTTCTTATCTGTAAATTGTGGGTATAATGGTACATACTTCATAAGATTATTCTGTGTATTAAATGACTTAACTTATGCAAAATATTTGGGACAGTGCCAGGGGCAATGGTCAATACTACATCAGGAGCTTCTGGCCCAGGCACCCAAACCAGGAGAAGTGGGGAAGTGTCAGGGATTTCAGTAGCAGTGTTGGGAGGATGGAGGAGCTATCTTGGAACAGGAGAACCTCTTGGCATTCCTGAAACCATTTTGTGCAGGTGGGTGCTTATTTTCCATTCTGCCATTAAGCAGATAAGAAGGATTAGCTCATCTCTTGCATGTGTGTTAGCCTTCTGGAGTTTATTGTAAACATGAGGCATACATGCCCTGGGGGAGAGATGCTCCAGCTGACTGAGTGACTGGATGTGTCTGAAAGTGGCAGCAACACCAAGCAGACAAGACTCTCTTTGCTTTAGATTAATTCCTTTTTGCCTTATTCTTCCTTTCCTTTTGCCTTTCACCTGAAGGCAACCACCAGGTTTTTCCATCTTTTGCTCTTCTTAGGAGGGAGAATAAATGATCCTTGGGTTTGTATTACACTTTGAAAATTTAAGTTAAATTTCCCTGCTCTGATAACAAAAATATACACTCCTAGTTTACATCCTGTTATGCATTGAATTGTGTTCCTCTCAAAAAGATACGATGAAGTCCTAATCCCCAGTATCTCAGAATGTGACCTTATTTGGAGACAGGGTCTTGTAGATATAATTAGGATGAGGTCACACTGGTGTAGAAGTGGGCTCCCCATCTGAGATGGCTGGCGTCCTTATAAGTAGATGGTAATGTGAAGACACAAGGAGAAGGCCATATGATTGATTTGAGTTATGCAGCTGTAAGCCAAGGAATGCCAAAGATTGCCAGAAAACCAGAAGCTAGGGAGAGACAAGGATGGATTCCCCTGCAGGTTTCAGAGGGAGCATGGCCCTGCTGACCTTTTGATTTTGGACATCCAGACTCCAGAACCATGAGACTGTAAATTTCTATTGCTTTAAGCCACCTAGTTTGTGATACTTTTTAAGGTATCCCTTGGAAACGAATATACATCCTTTTGAAATTGCTAAAAACTGTCCTTGATGATGAGATGATTTGGGGATTCCAGAGCATATTCATACCTCCTTGAGTATGCTGTGCACTCTTTCTTCTGGGGATCCCAGTCAGGAACCTAAAATCACAGTTGGTGTACCTGAGACCAATTGGCCGTGAGCCTTCTTCAGGAATCTGGAACTATCTCTCCTGTCCACATGGCCTCACATTTTCATTATTACAAAAAGCACCTAGTGTCAGGTGGCTTGGTACAAAGCAGGCTACATATCTTTTGATTCCTTTTTTTTTTTAATCTTCAGCCTTCTGGTATTGATTTGGTGGCACTTGTTGATGTTGAGTGTTACCAAACAAGTGACATGGAACAGTTCACAGTGTAAAAATAGGCCAAGCAAGGGCCAGTGATAGGAGCACTGAGACTAGAGCATTGAACTTGAACAGGGAGGAGCCATACCTTGGGGGCGCTTATGTTTGTCATCCCTGAAGAGAAATAACTGCAGCCCTTCAAAGTGTTGGAAGCTTACTTCTCAAATAGAAAGTCCTGTATTGTTTAATGCATGGAAATCTTATTTTATCCAAACATACAATGATAAGGATTCATCCAGAGGGCTCACTTTCTCACAAAATTCTGTTTACACTTGGGGGTTTGTTATTCTTTAAACTTCTGGGCATGTCATGGGAAAAATATGAATGATCACTGCACTAAAGAAAATAAAAGCTCTTTCCATTCCATCAAAGACATAAGAGACGGAAATGTCTTCACTGTTTTCAAGCTACCCATTGGTTCACATAGACATTTGTTTGAACCAGAGCTTTTTAAACACTCTTAACTTTTTTTCAGTTTCTACAACTCACTTCCTGATGGCAGAGGTTGTTTCCTACCATTCACTTAAGTCAACCTAGTGTTACTAATAGTTTTCGTCTTACCTCACTGCTTGAATATTTTTCCCTCCAGTGCTTTAAGTCTGTTTATTAAACAAATAGAAAATTAATGAAATAAATCTCTGTAGGTTTGAACATTGCTTGGCTAGTGAGGAAAAGGATTTACACTAGGGTCCTTGTAAGGTCTAAGCAAGGATAATCACAGCCCATCATGTGGCTCCCAAGACATAGCTCCCAAGCTCTACCACAGGGTTACTCCATCTGGGCACTTGTTGGCATTTTGGGCCAGATAATTCCTTGTTGTTAGGGTGAGGGTGCTGTCCTGGGAACTGTAGGGTGATTCTCAACATCTCTGTCGTCTACCCACCAGATGCCAGTAGCACCTCCTAAATTTTGACAACTAAAAATGTCTCCAGACATTGCCAAGTGTCCCCTGGGAGGGGGAGCAAAAAATAATCCCTGGTTGCAAACTGGTGCTCTAGAAAATCAGAATACAATTTGCTGAGACAGTACCTGAACTTCAGAAACATTTATAGCCTACAATGCATGCATATTTATTGCAGGCACTTTTGGTTTACAGTACTGTGGCCTTGTGAGTTCATTCATTCCTTCATTCAGTAGTTATGAAATACCTACTTTTTGAGGATGGAATAAATGAACCAAGCAAACAGAGCCAGGATAGGGTCTATGAGCTGGCTATGGGTGTCACTGAAAAGGGGACAGTGCCAATAAAATAGACATGGCCTCTGGCTGCTCAAGCTTACTTTTAGGGTAATAGAGGAAGTCACTTTCTTGCCCCTCCCCAAATCACTAACCTCTTGAATTTAGACCAGACCATTTTTTTCATCCCGCCTACCCCAAACTTATTTAATGGTTTGATTTTGTATGTGTGTGAGATTATTTCTGCTACTAGACTGTAAACTCCCTGGAATCTAGTAGATACTAAATTAATATTTGTTGAATAAATTAGTGAATGCTTTCATTTATTAAGTTATATTTCTCTTTCTCCTATTTACAAGAGCACAAACACGATAAAATCTCCTTTAGGAAAGAAAGTTCTGAATGTGTTATTATCTGGCCAGGGGCTAGTGATTGCATTTATTGATTGCATTCTATTATTCTAACCCAGTCATAGTAGTTTTGGTAAAAGAATGATCAAAAGGTGAGTAATGACAGGGAAGACAGATCTATTCAGTTTTTGTTTATCATGAAATTTGGGTTCATACCTACAGATTTAGGTTTAGATTTAAACCTATAGCTTAGCTTAGGGAGCTGATGAGCTCCCTGAGAATGTTCAGGGGGTCTGGAATTCAAACAACTTCATTTTTACTTTCAGATTCATACAGCTGGGGTGCTAAATGATGGGATTAAAATCACATAGGGTCCTAAATTCTGAACTTTATATGGGTCAGAGAGAAACAGACTCTTTATAGCTGGGTAATGGGAAAATATGATTCAAAGTAATAGTGCTTCCGTCCTGTAGTTCTTAGTCATCTGATCCTATTGCTCACAGTTGGGCTGTTAAAAGAACTTCAGAAATGTGGCCATATATGAACTAGGTGAATTTGATAACTGTCGGCACTCAGAAAGTCTGAGCATTTTCTATTTAGCTAGACATTTTTAAGACCATTGCTCTAACTAAAGTTGCAAATAATTATGAGCTTCTTTGTTATGTGAACTAAGAGAAATTGGCTGGTTACAAAAAATAAAAAACAAAAATTACTGAAAGTTTGTAACCAACTTTGGAACTGATTTTCTGATCCATCTTTGAACACAAACAGCCAGTTTGGAGGCAAGGGCAGTAAAAGGAAAGACCGCAGAGTTCTGAGCCCAAATGAGAAGGGGAAATGAACTCCAGCTCTTGATCTTCTTCAGGACCAAATATTTATTTGCAGTATATTTGCATTCAGCATGCCATCTGTTGATAGCTCAGTATTTCAAAGATGATTTAGTTAAGTCCCACAGCCTTACTATTAAGAGTAAGAATGACAATTGGTAAAATCTAAGAAGAAGGTAATAAAAATAGTATTGATGAGGGGGTCCTCCACCGTTATCTCTGCATGGACTTTTATGCACGTTTACAGCGTTCCACACTTTTATGAATATTGGTTAACTGGAATCACAGAATTTTAGAAATAAAAGTGACTTAGCGATCTTCTACTTCAACTTATTGATTGTTAGATGAATAAACTGCTGTCCAAAGGGTCCAAGTGACTTTTCCGAGGCCCAAGGTAACACTTGAGGTCAGTGTCCAAGAGAGATCTGGAATTCAGGTTTCATCTGAGGCTCAGTTTCCCCATCTGCTCTGAGGAGTGATTCGCATCAGTAAAGCACTTCTCAGTGACTTCTCTCTTCTCTGTGCCAGGCCCTGGAGAAGTGTGGGACACCTGCCATCCCTAGGTCCAGTGAAGCTTCCTGTGGCCTCTGCACCATTAGGAGAAAAACCAGTGCATGTTGTCAGCTCCATTCCTAGTATGCCTGAACCATGAACCCAAGTGAAAAAGAGGGATAGGGATGATGTTCTGACACTCTAACCTGCTGATCTTCCTCTTGGGGAGAATAGAAAGAATGAGCAAAGGAAAGGGAAAAACACCAGGACTGAATTACATAAGTGACATGAGATTTATCCCACATACAAAGTCTATCTTATGTAGTTGCTATAGCAGAGTTCCAGAAAGCACTTTTTTTTTGTAATAGGAATTTGAGTGATAAATATCATATTCTAATAAAAATTCTAAGGACTCTGCAGGATGAGGACCTAGAGAAGTAATAATTTCCCCACTGTAGCCCTTACAGTCCTGAAAGTTTTGTCATGATACACAGTTTTTTTATTAAGAAATTCTGCGAGTCGAAACCAGACTCAATTCCAGCTGTACATTAGCATCACCTGGGGAGCTTTCCAAAGAGAAAAGAATACATAGGCCTGGGCCCCATCCTAGACCAATTCAATCAGAATTTCTAGGGATGGAGCGTGTACAACAGTATTTTTAAATGTTCTCCAGATGATTTGTAGCTAGGGTAAAGGACCACTGGTCTAAAGTCACAAAACAGCCACCCTTTGCAGAAGCCACACTCTCTCATGAGTTTAAATCACAATAGGGATTTATACAAGCTGCAAAATTGTGTGACTATGCAATGTGTAGGAGGGATTGGATGGGCAGGCTTGCCATAAAGATAATGTTTCATACTGACCTTTTGGTACATACAATGCATGCATTTTGTAGTATTCTACTTTCAGATGTTTACCACTTGCATTCTCAACCACTGTTAACACAATGCCACATCAACTCCTCTTTGCCCCCAAACAAACCAGGTATCCTGCAGGAATAGAGGAAAGTGTTCATACATATGCTTGTGCTTCATTATGAGACTGTGTCAGTATTCTTATACACCAAACTGTAGCTGTAGAGGTAGAAGGATTTGAGAAGCTACATAAACAAGTAATTTAACACACTACTCTTACAGAACAACCTCTTGTGACACATTCCTGGGATTAACTGCTCTTATTACTTGGAATTTCTTCTCCCATGTAACCTAACTTTTCTTTTTTTTTCAACTAACCCCTTCCTCCTTTTTCCTTGTCCTGAATGGTGATTGTGTCTGAGCAGTATTTTCCTTGTTAAGTCTCATAAGAACCTAGCAGTAACTAAAGGCAGTTGTCATTTTATGTTCACTTTGAACTCTTCTAACAAACTGCCAGACAAAACAGTCCCTCCCCAGCCCTACCTGGGTGTTTCTCTTCATCTCTTATCTCCTTCCTTTTGCTCTTCCCTAGGATCTTTCCAGCATCTCTACCTCCTTATAAGATCAAAACAGATCCTATATTTAATAAGTCTGACCAATAGCAAATAAAGTAGAGAATCTTGTCTGTGACATTTTTGTTTTTTTTGGATTACATTCTCCTTTTGATTCCATTCATTGTGCTTCCTTTAAAATATCATTAAATTATTGAGATGTTTAATGTTCAGACACAATTGATAGACTTAGTTTTGGTCCCCTATTGCTCAAGGGGTGTGGAGCATGATGGATTCATTTAAGGGTGTGTTTACAATAGTGATTCTCACCCAGGAGATCTTGGTCCCTTAGGGGCTGTGGAATTATTACAAAGGGTTTCCATATCCGTTGTGTTTACCAAGCATCTTGATTTTCCACATCACAAGCTCCCACAGAAATGACAACCCTCTCCTGATATTTTCTTATTTTTCATATATTTACCTATTTGTTTCCCGCTTAATAGCTATACGTTTTATTCCTAGTCTTTTAACATTATCTTACTTTGTATTGGTTTTTATCTTATTTTTATGGGCTATTTGTAATTTGCCAAAAATCACTTTGATGTTATTTTTTATATATGTTAATAAGGTCATTGTAATTGGTGTCATTTGTAAGTTGAGAGTTCTCTTTAACTTGTTCATTCCAGTCATTGATAAAGCATTAAATGTACTACGACTGTGGTCTTGGCTGTATATTAGATATCAGTCACACCTAAAATTCACATTACACATCATCACCCTTTTTTAATGGCAACTTTCTAGTCCTGCCTATGCTTAACTGAATAATGACCCTGATTTCCTATACTTAGCTTATTGATGAGAAAACTATTTGGGGTCAAATTGACACATCTTACTCTTATCCTTATTATAGTAAATCAACCTCCTATCACGGGAAATGATAGAAAGAAGCATATCTGGAAAAGGAGCTAACATTCATTTCACTTGGCCCAGACATCAATAATGAAACAAATGATGTCTGACCCCTTCTAGAAACATTTAAGTGTTTTGCTTGTTTTTTGTTTTTATTCTTCTGAGAAGAGATCTGAGATCTCTGACAGACCACCTATGAGGTACAAAGAAACTTCTATGCTTTTGAAACAGTGGATACCACATCCCAGCTAGTAAAATCTCAGCTCTCTGTGTACTTAATATCTAGAAGTAATAAAGCGAAAGAATAGGAAGAAGAGGCTTGGGTTTCTCAAAGCTGTTGTCTCCTTTAGGCTTTGAGAAAGGTTTTAGATTTTTCTTCAGAACTGTCTCCGGACCTAGTCATTTCTCTGATGTTTGCATTTGTCCAAAGGTATATGGGGAGTCTGACAGGGAGTCCTTCTACCCCTCTCTTGGCAAGGGAGCTTTCATGTGGCCTGAGACCCAACTCTCAGCCTTCATACTTCTGGCCCCAGGGGGCAGTGCCAAGCAGCAGCAATGGCATCTTTTGGCATTCTAGGAATCTGCCTGCCCTGCCTGCGAGATACTTAGGAGATTAGCCTTATTCTGCAGGCCCTGGGAAGTCATCCAGGTGCCTCAGCCTGCTTATTGGAAGGCTCAGGAGAGATGTATCTATGTCCTCTTCAAACTGGAGATTAAAACATTCTAAATAATAAATTTATATACATATTAGAGCAGGTTGTCTCTTTACCTTAGTAAACAGAGTGAATGTTTTTGCATTTCTTTCTTAATTATTTGGATATGTTTTTCCTTATAAGGCTTTAAATGTGGCAGCTGCAGAGAAAAGGAGCAAAGGAATACACTCAATGACATAATCCTACTGTCTTTTAGCTCACTGAAGACATTCAATTACTTAAAAAAGAAATTTCAGTTTCTTTTCAGCAGATTCAATTTGGCATCCATTTTCTTTCTTTCTTTTTTTTTTTTTTTTACTAAAGTACATGCATATTTTTCTTTAATTGATCTTTTTGCATGTCCACTTTTCCTCTAGACATGAAGTTTTGTTTTTTTTTTTTTTTTAACATTTTTATGGGAGTATAATTGCTTTACAATGGTGTGTTAGTTTCTGCTTTATAACAAAGTGAATCAGTTATGCATATACATATATCCCCACATCTCCTCCCTCTTGCGTCTCCCTCCCTCCCACCCTCCCTATCCCACCCTTCTAGCTGGTCACAAAGCACCGAGCTGATCTCCCTGTGCTATGCGACTGCTTCCCACTAGCTATCTATTTTACATTTGGTAGTGTATATATGTCCATATATACACTACCACTCTCTCACTTTGTCCCAGCTTACCCTTCCCCCTCCCCATGTCCTCAAGTCCATTCTCTAGTAGGTCTGCGTCTTTATTCCCATCTTGCCCCTAGGTTCTTCATGGCCATTTTTTGTTTTTAGATTCCATATATATGTGTTAGCATACGGTATTTGTTTTTCTCTTTCTGACTTACTTTGCTCTGTATGACAGACTCTAGGTCCATCCACCTCACTACAAATAACTCAATTTCGTTTATTTTTATGGCTGAGCAATACTCCATTGTATATATGGAGTATATCATATATATACTTCTTTATCATAATAAAGAAGTATATATACTTCTTTATCAATTCATCTGTCGATGGGCACTTAGGTTGCTTCCATGTCCTGGCTATTGTAAATAGAGCTGCAATGAACATTGTGGTACATGACTCTTTTTGAATTACGGTTTTCTCTGAGTATACGCCCAGTAGTTAGATTGCTGGATCATATGGTAATTCTATTTTTAATTTTTTAAGGAACCTCCATACTGTTCTCCATAGTGGCTGTATCAATTTACGTTCCCACCAACAGTGCAAGAGGGTTCCCTTTTCTCCACACCCTCTCCAGCATTTGTTGTTTGTAGATTTTTTGATGATGTTGGCATCCATTTTCTGACAGCAGACTCCATGTGGGGCCCTGGGTGGGCACTGGGCAGCCACAGTCCTGGGGCCACCAGGGGCCACTGTTCTGTCTTGAAGGACTTGCATATGATGTGGGAAGAGAAGAGGGGAGAGAGGCATGGGGATAGAGAAGCAGAATGCTTAGAGGGCTTTGATACATGCTAAAATAGAAACAAAAACAGAATGTGGTGGGAGCCAAGAAAAGAGATGACCAGTTCTGATGAGGGCAGTCAGGGAAGGCTGACAGAGGCCCAGATATCTGAGGTGAGCCTTGGTGGATAGCTGTGGTTCTGTCAGGCAGGCTCTGGTGCACAAGGATGCATGGCAGGATCCATGCATAGTGCAGAGTAAGTGCTTCCTAAATATTTGCTGAATGGCCTTTCTAGGGAGCACCCATCTGAGAATGACTCTCATTCCTACCTTTATAACTAGAATAATAGGCTTACCCAAAATATTTTGGTGAACTGGTGGTTATTAACCATTTTAGACAAACAATTTCTCTCCCTACTAAAAAGCCTGACATTTAAGAACAAGTGAGAAAGAGGGCTCTGTTGACCTAACCAAAATAACTGGCAATGAAATCCAATGAATGCAGTTGCATTTCCTTGACACGTTTTGGTATGCCCACTTCCAGCTATATATTATTATTACTAATATAGAAAAAAACAGTGAGCCATGATTGATGGAACATTTTAATTGTTCTTCTGAGAGATTAATGGTACGTTGTAAAAATGCACTGTTCCTTACTTCTGGTATTTGTTTTTGAGAACAAATATGTAGTTATTAGGGAGGAAGTCTCATAGAAACTACTTTCAGGATTAAATAGGCATTTCTCCCACTAGCATAAAACTAGGATTTTTCTCAATTGTTTCCTATTTTTACAATGTATTGCTGTAATGGCACGAATATCTGTAGAAACTGGACAGAAAAATTGAGAACCTTAAATGAAGCTATTAGATGCAAAGTGCCTGTCAGGACCTGCTTCATTTTCTCACACCTAGCCCTCCCTGCACATCCAGGCAGGATCAGCTGCAGCCCAGGAGCTGTGGCCAACCTGGGCAGTCAGCATGCTTTAAAGACTCAGGTAATTCAACGCAAGCCAGCGTTGCAGCTTGTCTGGTCCTGAGTGTGTGTTCCACTTCTAATCACTGGGACACATCCCCACTTTGTACCCCACTTCTGTCTTTGGGATTTGACCCTCCCTGCCTTGTTGGGAGCTCACCCAGCTTGCATATTTCTTGAGGTGTGTGGGGTTTTGTCTTGGTCTTTACGTTGGTCCTTCCTCCTCCTTTCCCAACTCACCTACCAGGATCTAAAGTCTGACCTTAGAACTGTAGGCCTGTCACTCCCAAAACAGACCATGTCTGGAATCCCCCTGCCAAATGCTGCTCAGCCACTCTGAGAACACAGTCATGTCTTTCCTCACTATGGAGACACCACTGTCTGCTTGGATCATGATCTATTACAGAGAGGCACTGGAGCACAGTGGTTAAGAACCCTGGTCCTGGGGTCTAACTGTCTGGGTTCAAATTCTGAGTGTACCATTTCCTACCTATGAAATCCTGAGCAAATGGTCAGGTCTGAATCTGCTTATCTGCCAGATGAATATAACTGAAAATGATAGCACCTCCTCAAAGGGCCGTTGGAGGAGTAAGTAAAATAATCTGTGCCAGCAAGCTAGCCTGTAGAAAGTGCTGGAGGAAGACTTCCATGTCCTGTTTCACTCCCACCTGCACATTTGGCATCCCTTGGTTTGCCCCGTTGCACTGAAGTTAGCCCTTTCTGTTAGCAGATGTCATATCTCATCAGGTCACTTCCTGGCCTAAAAACACCTCTGTGGGTTGCTGTGGCCTACACAGGGACAGGTGCTTTGACTGGGCACAGAAGGTCATGCGGATCTGGCTCCTGCTTGTGTCCCTTGCTCTGGCTACACTGACCTGCCACTGGTGCCCAGAACATGTTAGGTGCCCTCAGGTCTCTGTACCTTTGCTCCTGCTACTCCCTCTGCTGGCATCCCTTTCCTGCCACACATGCCTGGTGCTCAGCCTTGGAGATTGTTGAGAACTCTATGCTTTGTGTCCAACTATAGCGCATCCAGATCTGAGCGCATCCACTCAGATCTGTTTATATATTTGCTTTCCTGATAAACTCTTCAGGGCAGGAGCTGAGAGTTAATACTCAATCAATGCCTGAACCTGATCGTGTCATCAGACATGACAGCACTGTGCAAAGCAATGGATGTGGGGGGCTCCTGGAGTTGGCATGTGCAAAGCCCAGTCCAGCACAGGGTGGGTGGCAGGGCAGGGAGAAGGGGCCAGGGCAGGGAGAAGGGGCCTTGTTGTCCTTTCTTTGTCTTTTGCTTCTTTTCCTCCCAGTTTCCTACTTTCTCACTACTTGGGTTCAGAAATCAGAATCTTTCTCAGTTCTTCATTATAAATGAGAAACCGTAATTGTGTTTGATGCCTACATCAGTGAGATGACCCGGTGTAATCTCAGGATGCAATTTATCTTTTTACATAGAATCTATCAATGTCCATTTGTATTATAATGTCCTTGCTGGGCTCAAGAAAGGTTTAAATACTGAATGCACCTTTTAAAATTTTCACTTTTAAATTGCTATGAAATAATATATTAAGCACATACATACACCATCAAAACTTATTTAAGCCTTCTCAAAATTAAAAATGCCTGCTTCTTAATTACCTAAATAACTAACAGTGGCTAAAGGGAAGCTCAGTTGTGTCTTTAGGAATATGTACTTCCCCTGCTATGAAATAATGACCAACAAGAGACATCTTCTCAAGGTTTAATAAAGAAAACAAAATGTATTTTATATCTAAAACATCAGCATAGGAGAGGCAGGAAATATGTATTCTGTGCAGGTGTAAATCTGTTCTACCAATTAAATTCCCTTGGTAGTTGCTCAGTGCATGGATCATGCAGATTTCCTTTAAGACAAAATTAAAAGCACTTCCCCACTCTAAACAATGGCTCATGTGAAAGCATGCCATTTTATGTTTCCTGGACTAACTGAAAAAAATTAAAACTATTTTAAACATTTTAATCTTTGATTGAGTAGTTGACAAAATATGTGATGGAAGGATGTCAGTTTCATTAACCCTGTGTTGCAGGGAAAGAAACTAAGGTCTGAGGGTAGAGTAGATTGGCACTTAAGAGCAACTCCTCCAAGTTATAGTACAGCTTGGTGGCCAATGAAGGATAGGAGAGAGGTGACATTGGAGACTGGAGAGGAAAGAAAAGCATGACATTCTTAAATGGAAATTTTGCCCATTTTGCTAAAAAAATAGTGCAAGTAGGGACTTCCAATGTATTTCAGGTACAGGAATCAGTGACAGGTCATTGCCAATTCATTCATGACCATATAATTTTTCTTCCAAACTGGGACAATTCTGAGAATGAAAGGGGCATTGTTAATAATTAATTATAATTAATAATTAAAAATAATTAATAGTTATTCAGGATAGCTATTGACCATTATTAACTTGCCTGCATGGGACAACCTAGAACATATGGCCACCCCACCCCTAGGTCACTCTGAGGCTCTAAGCTTGCAGTGGGCTGTAAGCCCAAGTGGCCTCAAGGGATGGAGGACCACTGAGCAAGGCTGACTTGGGAACCCTCTATGGTGTTTCAGAACTCCCTGGCAGAGTTTAAACTGGCCTAACCTTCAAGTGTTCTTCTGGCAGGAGGAACATCTAGAATTACATAGTGTGACTGAACTGTTCTCTTAGAGTAGAACCATTCAAGTGTATATCTTTAAGCCAGCCTTGGGTACAATAATTTCTAAACCTGACTTCACAATCTAGGGAGCTTAGAGGCCCTAGATTAGGCCCCATCCCTAGATACTCTAGTTTAGTAACTATGTAGTGGGCCTAGGCATCTGTATTTTTAAAAATTCCTGTGATGATTCTGATGCCCAGGTGAATATGAGGGCCCTCTTGGGTTTGTAAAGAGGATATGAGGTTTTAAAATGGTTGAAAATTTTAAATTTTCAATAGGATGATTAAAAGTCAAGCAACAATATGGGAAGGGAGAATATTAGAGAAGAACTGAAATATTTTCTATAAGTTAATTATAATTTTTATAGGACCCAAACAGGGGCAAATTGTTTAAAAAATATATGTTCCTTTGGTGTTTTCCTAAATAAA